ATGTCCACCAACGTTAGTGTAATTCTTTTGTGTTTGTAAAACTTGTGTAAACAGTGTTTTGTAAATGTAAGTACTACGTACTAGTTCATTAATTATTAAATAAGGAAAAATGACCAGCGTTATAAGTATATATACATATATATATTACGTCAAATATTATTCTAGTAAATACAACATTGGTTTCTACATAACCAAATATAATAGTTGTTAAAGACTTGCAGATTTTCTTCGCTAACGAGTACAGCTAGTTTTTAAAGATATTCCTACGCTTTGTATTAAAAGTTTCGAAATAATCTATTTGATGCCTACTGATACCTGCTGCTAACTGTGGAAAATATTTCTTCAACCTCGTCTATCTGAAAATATTTTAAACTAACAGAATTTTCGAAATCTTTTGAACTTATGTTCGGTTTACGTGTTAGTTTCGTAACCAAATTAGTAAGTGCAGTGTAAGATTTGGATCGCGATTTTAATCTTATAGGATCTCATCTGCACGTCATGGCAAACCACCGACTAAACCGAAAGAGCATCTAAAAGCAAGTTGATATTTATTTCAATTGGCTTTGAGTAGTTTACAAACGTAGTTAGGTATATTTTGTAGCTATAAATTATGTATTATAAAAATTTCTTTGAGAAGAAGTTAGTGGGAGATCGATGGTTTATGAAATATATTAAAAACTAAAAATTTCGGAAAAAGAAACCATTTTAACAATAATTATTCAGTCATATGACAATTTTTAAAGGGTACTATTATACGTAGGTCTATAGTCATTTGACTGAAATATTGTTGAAGACTTGTTTATTGGTTCCTTATTTCCTGCTTTCTTAGACTATAAATAATATCAGCTTTTTTGGCGATTTAAAATTAATCATTAAAATTGTGTTGCCCATTTATTTTACAGAAAACATAATATTTAAATAAAAAAAATAAACGAACTAGTACGAGCTATTTAACGTAAAATTTTTTTTAGGTTGAGTTATAAAAATATGTAGGTACTTCTTTTAAATGTACTAATTTATTATTGTTTTTAGATAAAAATGCGAGTGGCACTTTGTTTTGGTCTCTTCTTTTTGGCCGTTGTGTCGGCGTTTCCCCAAAAAGAAGGAGGATCATACACAAATGAAGCTATTCGGCAGGCCCAGAACTCTCGACTTATCCCTAAAGATGCTCAAATTCAAAAGGTATAATAATCCTTTCTTGTTGTTCGTTAACGTAACTCTATATTTTTGAGATCTTTCTTTTTAGGTAGTTGAAGGGATTGAAATAGGTGCATATGAAAGCATCCCCGGTAACCAGAGGGTAAATCTGTTTGAAATTTTGGGAGACCAAGTTCCTCCAGAAGTTGTCAATAATTTACAGCAGCAAGTCGATCAAGTGGGGCGTCCTTAAACATCCTCGCACTCTGATGTTGTCTTAAATCAATTTTACAAAAATTTGTATAAAAATAATTGCAAAAAGGAAAACGGTCCATGCTAGAAATATCCTCGCGCATCGTAATCACCTCTTTCATTTTAATATTTACAACATCCATAATATTCACGTAATTTTCTAGCCATTAAGCCCAAACCCATTATCACTTTACATAATCGAAATTAAATTACATTGACCTACTTTGTTGATATAATCGTCTGTATATATGGTACTTAAGAGTTGATTCGATTCATTTTTTTTTTAATTAGGTACTTCGTATTTGATTTGTGCATTAGTACATATGTGTAGATGCAACATGATTTTTACTGCCAACATAAGATTTTCAAATATCTCGAAAGTAATTGTACTAAAATTCTTACTTTTTTCTTATGTAATATTTGTTTTATTCTACTGTTTTCATTTTATTTTATAATAGGAGATTTATTTATTTTTTTGCACTTAGAAATTCTTCCATTGTCAGTGCCAATGTCATTTTGTATAAAGAAAATATACATTTTTGTACATATTGATTGGTTTTTATTTTTATCACTTTCTATTCCTACGTTTCGAAGAAAAGAATAAATAATGCTATACTTAAATGAATTTTTATCCAATGTTATTGCCATACGGTGATGTTCATATGAAAAGAAAGTTAGGAAAACTGTTTGATTCAATCATTATCGGCTTTAGTCAGTTGCGGAGACAGGTTTTCCGTTTCTATCGTCAAGACAGATTTAAGAATCGTTGTAGCAACACTCTGCATTTAAATTAAGAGAAAGTTGAATGTCAGCTGCCCCTGAATTTATCTGTCCACACACGTTTAGCTGCTTTTACTTTCTCCGTAAGAACGTTTTAAATAACACGTACCAAACAGGTGGATTGCATTATATTATATTAATACATTCAAAAATAGATGTTTCTATTACGGTACCTCTATAACGATAACAAATCTTTCTATTGCATCATACTGTTCGGACTTAATCTAACAAATTAAGTAAATTATTTACCATATTTATCTTTGGGTAGTCTCATAAAAACAGTAATAAAATTTAGTAAATGAGAAAATTAATATTGTGGTACTATAACTTTTACTATATCACAGCACTTGTCTTGCTGTTAAGAGTATCTATTCATTTTGCTAGGTACTTAATACGCCAAGAGATAATAGATATCTTTTGGTATTATTGGTTCATCAAAATTTAAAAAATCAACAAGGTAATATAATTGATTATCATGCTTCATATGTGAAACTCAAAAAAATTTTTGAACTTTTTGACGGAAATATGTAACTACAAATTGACAGGGAGAAGCACGTGGTATTCAATTAATGTTTAGGTTTTGAAGCAAGGGGGAGAAAGGAAGAAAGAGAAAGAAGGTGCAGCTGTCAACCTTGTGCTTGATAAACTGATAAAATCAAATTCGATACAATTTTCATGAAAAAATACTATAGTGCAATCACTTCAATCATTACCCATCTCTTAATACATTCACGAAAATTAGTAAGGGCAATGTTTATTTCTTTAAAACCACAGTAGTTGTTAAATTCTATCGAATAACGGAATATGATTTTTATTTTCCAAATCCTGATTAAATGGGACAACATGTTAAATATAATTAAAAATGCAGGGATGAGTTACAGAGATAGAAAAGTGATCCTTAGTTTGTATAAAAAGCAACAGGTAGTTATAGATATGAAGCAGCAACGTCGAGAAGTAAATATTAGGAAGGGAGTCAGACAGGGATGCACACTGTCACCACTTTTTAATCTATACATCGAAGACGCGATCAACATCATTAAAGACAGTACAACTGTAGGGATAGGTATAGATGTGCAAGAGGTTAGTATGCTTAGATTTTAAAGTAAAACAAAATTTAGAAGAAGTGGTTGATTTTCGGTATCTAGGAAGTCAGATAAGTCAGGATGGAAGGAGTAGTAGGGATATAAAGCAGAGAATAGCGCAAGGTCGATTCGCCTTCAATAAAAAGAAGTCACTTCTATACTCGCGAAATTCGAAAAAGGTTGTTAAAGGTGTATGTTTGGAGTGCGGCGCTGGACGGGTGCGAAACATGGACGGTGAGCGCTGCGGAAAAGAAAAGGTTAGAAGCGTTCGATATGTGGTGTTACAGGCGAATGACTCCCTGGAAGTCAATAAAAAATAGGCGAGATAGATTGGTAGGACACCTTCTCAGGCATAAAGATCTAGTCAGAGACATATTAGAGGCAGAAACGGGAGTTAGGAGGGGTAGAGGTAGACCAGGATTAGATAAATGCGAAGATTAGCTCAGGATATAAAAGAGTCGAGATGCGTGTCCAATCAGTCTTAGGACTGATGACCTTATGATGATGATAATCCTGATTAATAAATACAAAAAAATTGGTGCAGTACTACTTATTGACACAGTGAAATCATTTGAATGAAATGTTCATCATTTTGGAATTTATAGCGTACGATTGACCTTATTGATACCTAAATGCGTAACGAAGGTACAGTTAAATAAACAATCAGTTAATCGATTGCGGTGGGAAATGTTATTGTAATTTCTGACTTCTCCCGTTGTGAAATAGTTGGCCACAGGATGCAGGATATAATCAAGATTTATTTGAACACTAAACCTGTACTACAAATTGCGGTTCCACGATGCGAACGTTATTTCAGCTTGTAACGCAGAATTGCTTATTTATGCATGGCACTTGGAGCTAAGGTGAATTAAACCATTTGCAGATTGCACAAGTGGAAATTATTATTCGAGGGGTGCTTACGAAATGCACTTGAAGGATTCCTTTATTTTCATTTATTAATCTGTGAGCAAAGCAGGAGCAGGACGAAGGGCTAGAGACGTCAAAAACAAAGACCTGCAAAGAACATACTTTTGAGCTAGAGATTTCTTAGTTGTTTGTGTGCTTGAGTTTTACGTTTTTAATATGAGAGTCCTAATCAGTAACCTTATGAAACCTGAAACAATGATTTCTGATGACCTCTGTTACAAGCATTACTTTTCGAATACAAGTGAAGTACTGAAAAAATCTCAGATATAGATTTTTTGACGATGTATTTATTACCATATTTTGAGTTTGTGCATTTTTATAAGATATAATGAAGCGCTCAGGGTGTCGTTTATGCGACGGCATGTCAAATCATCGATCATCGGCACAAGGTAGGTGCCTAGGAGCCGTCGTCGACTGCATATTCGTGTTCAAAGACCCTCAAAACCCCCGAGTAACAAAATTTGACTTATTTTTATCATTACTGACAACTTTGCACATATAAGATAGCATTTTTGTGGACGGTGTCACGAATGGAATGCAGAAAACCGCATCTCTATTCGATTTGTTGCAGAAAAATTCGAAGGTTTCGCCTATTTTTGTGCTTTATTAAAAGTCTTTCTTCTTATTGTAAGTCAAAATTTCGAGATGCAAGTCGAAATTTGAAGTTACAAGTTAGAATTTCGAGATGCAAGTCGAAATTTGAAGTTACAAGTCAAAATTTCGAGATGCAAGTCGAAATTTCAAGTTACAAGTCAAAATTTCGAGATGCAAGTCGAAATTTCAAGTTCCAAGTCAAAATTTCGAAATGCAAGTCGAAATTTGACGTTACAAGTNGTCCGGATAGTTCGAAAATAATTTTCCCGACCCGATACATTCTGCCGTAGATGTTGCATCCGGCAAGTTTGAGCACTCCCACGGTCCCGTCGATGTTGTTTCCTTTGTCTTCGCCACCCGCGATGGAAACAGCGACCTCATCATTTTGCCCATGACTCGTCAACGTCATCGCAGTCGTGGACGTCGTCAACATGCTTTTGTTATTGTTACCATAAATCTTGGCCGGTCCAAATTGGCTATCGCTGCTCGTATTTTGATTTGTATCTTTCGTTGTTTCGTTAATTTCGTTGCTCAGGTGTTTCCGGTCGGGCTTTCCATTAATGTTATTATTGTTAAGCGTCTGAACGCGGCGCGTTGGTAACGAGCTTTTGTATTCGGACGAGGGTTTTGACGGCCGCGGTAACGAACTGTGACTGAAGTTTAAATTTAAAAACGGCATTTCTTCGCGGTCGCCGAGTTTACCACCGTTAGACGATTTGGTTGCAGAATAATTTCCCAACGTTTCGTCAAATGCATCCGCTCGATCCACAGGGCCATCCGATAGATCGTCACCTATTAGGGAGTGGAATTCGCATGAGATATAGATATGATAGCAATCAAAGAAAAAATTTTTGCTGCTTAACTTTTTGTTACTTACCACAAAAATGTGACGGACAGCATGACAAAATTTCCTTTACGGAAGGTTCTCGACAATATATTTCGGGTGGAGGACATTCCGGCTCGTGGCATGCCACTTTGCCATACAAGCATGTACAAATCGTGCAGGCGTCCTTTCCGGGGACAGTCTGTCCATGTTCAAATAAAGTGCTTTCTACTTGGCAACTGTCTGAGAAAAACACGTGGTATTAAGGCAGATAAATTTATTATTTAGGTACCTACATAGAAATTAGTGAAATTTTCCGTTTACTTTATTTGTATTGTTTGAAATAATCATGCAGCTTTACAAAAATTGAACAAAGTTCGTATTTTTCACTTACAATTTAACACGTTTGGGATTTCGGTTAGGGGCTTTGTTGAAGTGACTTTATCAGAATCAGCGTGTGTGGTTGCTACGTGAAAGCTGCTGTCGTAGCCTTCTACCGATAGGGGTGGTTCTTTGGGGACAAATCCACCTAAAAGTGTGATACACAAAATGTAAATTGTGAAAGCGACAAAGTCTCTTTGTTTTGTTTGAACAAGTACAGTATTGAGTATGATTTTTTTCACTATTTGACGGTCTCGATGAGATTTTTTAAGTAACAACAAACAACTTCTGTTTTTTTCTTTGTTTTAATTAATTAGAATGTTTGGATGAAGCTTTTAACATTATAATTCTTGTAGGATTATAGAAAAGGTTTTAAGATGGGCTTAAACGACTAGAAAGCGACTTCAAATAACTTCACTAAATTAAAAAATAGTTGCGACTTCCTTGCTTCCCATAATCCTCCTTATGGTTTATTTTTTCATTAGTTTTACCTTTGAATATTGTTTAAGAATGACTATATAAATATTTACATGCCTAGAAATGCATAAAAATTGGCATACTTATTAACTTTTAACTTTTTGTGGTACAGTGGTGGACCTCCTCTTTCGATTCCCTCACTCCCACCCCCTTCATCTAGACCTTTACCACGTTTTTTAATGAGTCTCCGGTACAATTTCCAAACAGGACTGTCTAAAATTAAAAAAAAAAATGAAACAGTCCCATTTGATGACTAGAACACCATCATCATTTCATCGTTATTATCTTCCTATCTTGAACTAATCTTAGCATTTCCAGAAAACTATTGTAGAACGTCCTAAATCCTTTGCCCCTCTTCACTCTAGTTTCTATTTCTATTATGTTTCTAATTAGCATTTCATGTCTCAGAAATTGTTCTATACCAACACAGCACTCCATTTCCTTATTGACATGTATAGCACCCTTTGATTTTCCACTGTTTTCAATACCTTCGCGGTATTTTTATCATCCTCCTATGACAACACATCTCAAAAAGTAAATGTAGTGAAGTTTTTCAGTCTTAAAATCCGTGGAATTAATTAAATTAAGTCCGGCCGGAAAACTTGGCTACATTTACTTTGACCAGCCGTAAAAGCTTACACAATCTGATCTCAAACACTTTTTTCTGCCGCAATCACCATCCATTTACACCTACAAACATACACGTACACACATACAAGAGACAGAAAGATTGCAAGTACATTTTGAGGCAAGTTCAAAGTTGTATCATCGTATCATCGAGCCTTTGTT